AACAGTGGACACAGTGGCTGACTTCATTTTTCTGGGCTCCAAGATCACTGCAGATGGTGACTGCAGCCATGAAATTAAAAGACGCTTACTCTCGATAAAGGACAGTAATGGTATGGACCTAACAGAAGCAGAAGATATTAAGAAGAGGTGGCAAGAATACACAGAAGAGATGTACAAAAAAGATCTTCACGACCCAGATAATCAAGATGGTGTGATCACTCACCTAGAGCCAGACAGCTTGGAATGTGAAGTCAAGTGGGCCTTAGAAAGCATCACTACAAACAAACCTAGTGGAGGTGACGGAATTCCAGCTGAGCTATTTCAAATCCTGAAAGATGACGCTGTGAAAGTGCCGCACTCAATATGCCAGCAAATTTGGAAAACTCAGCAGTGGCCACAGGACTAGAAAAGGTCAGTTTTCATTCCAATCCCAAAGAAAGGCAATGCCAAAGAAGGCTCAAACTACCACACAATTGCACTCATCTCACACGCTAGTAAAGTAATGCTCAAAATTCTTCAAGCTAGGCTTTTGCAATATGTGAACCGTGAACTTCCAGATGTTCAAGATGGGTTTAGAAAAGACAAGAGGAACCAGAGATCAAATTGCCAACATTCGCTGGATCATTGAAAAAGCAAGAGAGTTCCAGAAAAACATCTATTTCTGCTTTAATGACTATGTCAAAACCTTTGACTGTGCAGATTACAAAAAACTGTGGAAAATTCTGAAAGAGATGATGGCCTCTGAAAGAGGACAGACCACCTGACCTGCCTCTTGAGAAGCTTGTATGCAGGTCAGGAAGCAACAGTTAGAACTGGACATGGAACAACAGACTGGTTCCAAATAGGGAAAGGAGTATGCCAAGGCTGTGTATTGTCACCCTGCTTATTTAACTTATATGCAGAATACATCATGAGAAATGCTGGGCTGGAGGAAGCACAAGCTGGAATCAAGATTGCCGGGAGAAATAGCAATAACCTCAGATATGTAGATGATACCACACTTATGGCAGAAAGTGAAGAACTATAGAACCTCTTGATGAAAGTGAAAGAGGAGAGTGAAAAAGAAACAGTGTCAGACTTTATATTTGGGGGGCTCCAAAATCACTGAAGGTGACTGCAGTCATGAAATTAAAAGATGCCTACTCCTTGGAAGGAAAGTTATGACCAACCTAGACAGCATATTAAAAAGCAGAGACATTACTTTGTCAACAAAGGTCTGTCTAGTCGAGGCTATGGTTTTCCAGTGGTCATGTACGGATGTGAGAGTTGGACAATAAAGAAAGCTGAGCGCAGTATTGATGCTTCTGAATTGTGGTGTTGGAGAAGAGTCTTGAGAGTCCCTTGGACTGCAAGGAGATCCGACCTATCCATCCTAAAGGAGATCAGTCCTGGTTGTTCATTGGAAGGACTGATGTTGAAGCTGAAACTCCAATACTTTGGTCACCTGATGCGAAGAACTGACTCATTTGAAAAGACCCTGATGCTGGGAAAGATTGCGGGCAGGAGAAAGGGACGACAGAGAATGAGATGAGATGAGAGATGAGATGGTTGAATGGCATCACTGACTCAATGGACATGGGTTTGGGTGGACTGCAGGAGTTGGTGATGGACAGGGAGGCCTGGCGTGCTGCGGATCACTGGGTTGCAAAGTCGGGACACAACTGAGCCACTGAACTGAACCTTGCTGAAATAAAGGTACTGTCATCTTGTTACAATTAAGCCAGTTCACGTTCTAACAAAAGCCAACTTTAAAAAGCCCTGCCTGCTGCTCTTCACTGGTGACCAGCCATCATTCCCTATTTTGAACAACAGGATAAGTGCATATTCATAAACAAAAAGCAGTACAACTGCAAATACATAATAGATGTATGTAAACTAAGAAGCACCTGCACTTCTCATCTTTATCCAGTTGCTTTTCTTGAAATGTTTCAAACAAGACTCACATTCTGCCATAACTTTACTTTCTGGCACAGATGAAGCTAATATACAGTCAGTTGATCGAAAATGTAGATTATGGAGATGCATCAAAAATAAGTTGAACACATATCCCCTTAAAAATTTCAAGTTAAAATATGTAAATATACACTCATGTGCAATCCTTTGTGCACTTATGGGCTTCCCTTGTGGCTCAGCTGGTGAAGAATCCGCCTGTAATGCGGGAGACCTGGGTTCAATCCCTGGGTTGGAAAGAAACCCTAGCGAAGGGAAAGGCTATCCACTCCAGTATTCTGGCCTAGAGAATTCCATGGACTGTATAGTCCATGGGGTTGCAAAGAGTCGGACACAACTGAGCGACTTTCACATCACATCGCATCACATCAAAGCCTATTCTTCAAAGTATGGTTCCACTGATGGGGGATCTTCGTTTTTGAGTTCTGTTCTCTTTAAAGAAGAAAAGTGGTATCTCATTTAGCGTTGATTTGAATAAGTGATACTGAACATCTCTCCATGTGCCAATTATTGGCCATCTGTACATCTCTGGAAAAACGTCTATATTCAGATCCTCTGCCCATTTTTTAATCGGGTTGTTTAGTGTTTTGTTGGTGAGTGGTATGAATTTTTTTTAATATATTTTGGCTATTAACCCCTCATCTGATACATTATTTTAATATCTTCCCACTCAAAAGGCTGCCTTTTTACTAGACAAAAACTTTCTTTTACACACACACATATCATACTTTTTCAAATTCTTCTTTACAGTTTATTACAAAATATTTATTATTGTTCCCTGTGCTATTCAGTAAGTCCTTGTTGGCTGTCTTTTCATTTTGCTGGGGGGTTTCTTTTGCTGTGTAGCCTTTTACTTTTGCATGTTTCCCTTGCCTGAGAAGACAACATGCAGAAAGGTAATGCTAATACTTACGTCATGCCTGATTGCCTATTGGAATGTGGCTATTATCAAAAAGGCAGAAAATAACAAATGTTATAGAGAGAATGTGGAGAAAAGGGACCCCTCATACATTATTGGTGAAAATGCAAACACAGAAAACACTATGGAGATTCCTCAAAAAATTAAGAATAGAACTACCACGACTCAGCTATTGCACTTCTGGGAATTTATCCAAAGAATACAAAAGCACAGATTTGTAAAGATGTATGCACTACTATGTTCACTACAGCGCTATTTACATAGCTAAGGTATGGAAACAACTTAAATGTCCATCAACAAATGAACAGATAAAGATGTGGTTTGTGTGTGAATATATAACATAGACTACTACTTAGCCATAAAATAAGAAGGAATCTTGCCATTTGTGACACCACAGATGGACCTTGAGGATATGATGCTAAGGGAATTAAGTCAGACTTCTGAGAAAGACAAATACTAAATGATTTCATTCTTATGTGGAATTAATTGGTAAGGGGTCAACTGTATGGTGATGTGTAGAAACTTTTGGTAGTGTACATAAGTTAAATTATAATGTTATACACATAAAACTTTATAAACAATGTTACATCAATTTAAAAAAGAAGAAGAAAAAAAATAAAAGACTGGTAAATGTCCACTGGATCTCTTCCAAGTCTAGTTGTCTTGCTCACACCTATTTTGACAGTTCTTTTAAATGACTTATCTTTTTAAAATTTTTCAGAAGCATTAATTTTCCTGGGAATCTTTTTTGCTCCTCCTGGTTCATCAGTTTCCATAATTTTAAATTAACTTACATAATTTTATAATGCTAAATAAACGCAATGGCATAAACAGACTTGTGAATAAACACACACCTTGGTGAATGCAGTAGGGTGAAGGTAGAAGCAAGTTGGCACTCAAGGAAGTGGCAGGCTCTAGGGTTCAGCAGCAGTGGCCATCTGTTTTAGGGAGTGCAGCAGGCTAATCCATCATATTGCGTTCAGATGGGAGTAAAAAATGCTTTATTTTAGAATCATGATGCTTGATACAGTGTATCAATAGAAGCAAACATACGCAGGTGTGTGTGAAGTATCTCTATACTTGCATTTTGTTAAGGGCTTTTATTATTTTTTAAATTAGGAGTAGATTTCATGTTTTATCAAATGTCTTATTTGCATCTATTAAGATGATTCTGATTTATCTAATTTGACCTATTAATATGATAAAGTATAGTACACTGAAAAGAACTGAAACACTTATATTTCTAGAATAAATCTCACCTGGATACACTGTTTTGCCAATATTTTATGTAAGCATCTGAATTCATAGGTAAGTTCGGTATAAAGCTTTCTCCAATTTTCTTAGTATCAATATAGCACTAATGCAGATACCTGTAAAAAAAAGGCTGTTTCTATTTAATATAACGATCCCACTATTAAAAAAAATTATTTACAAAATTGGTTGAATCCAGTACTTTGAGATTTTTACTCTAGTTTTATAAAAATCAGTATTAGGTTTTCAGGGGCTTCCAACTCAGAGGAATCCTATTTTAAGGATATCATGGAGGTAAGAAGCAGCAAAGGAAGAGGCCAAGTGGGATTTTATGTGCACCTTCCCTTTCCTTCCACAAATTTTATAGCAATTCCTCTTAGAAAGGACTTGGACTTCATGAACATAATGAAAGAGAGGCTTAAAACAAAAGATCAACTAAAAAGTCAACCCTTAACAAAAGTTTTAATAGTCCTCAAAATAATCACTTTTTGAGTAGTAAAACTAAAAAATAATAAGCCATGTATACCAAGTGAAGCTGAAAAGCATGCACTTCAAAATGAACAAGAAACATCTTTAAAGAGTCTCTTGTATTAAAACATCTTATTCAAGTATACCTGCCATTTATCACTTAATGCAAAGGATAAACAAACTAGTTTTTGTTTTTCTCCCAAAATATATCTAAATTCATTACGGGGAAAGTCTTTTTTTGATGCTTTACTAGGTTTTGTTATTTTAATGGCTTGAATATAAGATTGTGTTTATAGACTAGTGACATCTGGCTCCAAGTGCAAACAGTGAAGCATACAGGGGTTCCGTTTCTGTTCAGAGCGGCTGATGGACTCTGAAAGGGCAGAGTGTTGACCGAGATGGAGGGTTCTTTTCAGCTCTCACACTTGGCTTTTTTGCAGGCTGGAAGAGAATCATCATCTGCTTCTGATGTCCGAGGTTTCTTCACCGTGGAAATAATTCCAAAAGCAGTTTTTCTAGTTTCTATAAGTCAAACAGGGAAAACAAGGTGCTTAAAGTTAAGATATGATTTAAACAGGTGGTGTAACAAGCATCCCCATGTTACTGTGACTTATAGCATGAGTAAATGATAAACCTATATGAACTGCTAAGAGCGCTGATGCTACTTACTGCTATCACCTTTACCTGCCCCTAGATTATACAAATATCAGTATATTATTAACAGCTAGTTCATTCCAAAGGGACTACCCTCTAGGGTAAAATTACAGGGCAAGTTGTCTCTAATGGTCTGTCTCTAATGGTATCTCATGTAGCCAGAAACCAAGTTTCAGAGGTTGGGGCAGCACACGCTTAAAGTGTGGTAGAGATGGATGAGTCAGGACAGCAAGTGCAACAGTCAGCCGTACTGGTCCATGGCAGTGTGTGTGCTCACTTCATTCTATGGCACAGACCATTCATTATCTGTGTCCCTCACTAGATCATGAGTGTCTGTCTGAAGAATCAATCACATTGTATGGCCAACATACAGCAATGCCTGGCTATGTAACAAGTGTTTAAGAAATACTTATTGAGTGAATAAAGAATAATACACATGATTATTGATCTCTTTTATGTTGGTGACAATGGACAAAGAAGAATGGAAATTATTAGATGTTTAAGTCAGGCTGGCAGCAGAGTTCAGCTTCAGTCTAGCTAACTTCTGCTAAAAACGTACTAAGGGGCCAGGCACTGTGTCACTTACAGAGGATTCTGAGATGCCTAAACAGTGCTTCTTTCTACCCATACTGACAGCACATCAGGGGCAAATATAATAGTATAATAGGAATGGAGACCCCACAAGAAGTAACCCTGCCTGGATGAATCAGGAAGGTATCATAAAAGAAGTAACACTATCATAAAAGAAGGAAAAGAAAAAGGAAAGTTTTCCTTTGCAAAGATATGGAGAGAGGGATAAGAAGAAAATAATACTTAGGAGACAAGATGACTGGTGTAAAGGAGGAGTGTGAAAAAATCAGGGGGAATCAAGGCTGGAGGGGTAGTTTATGAAAGGTCACAGTGCCATGAAGAGATTTAAACTTAGTCCTTAAGAAATGGGGAAGGATGAGGGAGGAAGCAAAACCCTTTGGTAACAAAAGAGATAAAATCAAAGGGACTTGATAAACACAAATTTAATTAAGACTTATTTCATGTAATAGAAGTAAAGTCATTTCTAAAAAGTTAAATATTACCTTCTCATTTATCAAGATTAATTTACCAAGTCTACTAAATTTCTGTCAGCTATTTAAAAGCATTTTAATTTATAACAGGGACAAAACTTCTCTCAAGGTCATTACAATGCCAAAATACTCAGGGAACCTCAAAACAAACAGAAATTGCCCAAAATTTGCATTTAAATGTTACACTTACAGATGTTTATTTTATCACTATGATTATGAGTAAAAGTCTAAAAATCAGCAGAACAAATAAGAAATATAAAAATTAAATTGTGAAAAGCAATTAACAAAAATGTTTGTAACAAAACAAAAAGGATTAGTTTCAAAATTATTTTAGTTCCATGTCAGAAATATTCTTTTTTAATCACACGAACATTCACTTCTTAATCTAAGCCAACAAGATTATAAACCACTGAAAAACAAGATTTTTATATAGTTACTAAAGTAAGTCTTTTAGACCCTGAACCTCTTTTCTCTGTCTCGACCTTAAAATTGCTATTCACTGGTTGCTAGAACGCCACAGGACTCATCTAACTTTGATTCCTTATAGCAAGCCTTAAAATGTGGAAGGCCAGCTACTACTGTGTGTCTCAACTCTTCTGTTTTCTAGGTCTCTACTCCTGCACTATTTTCAACAATTGCTCTCATGATAGGGTTTTCACACCCTCCAAGAATTAACCAACTTCTGGTAGTGCTTCTGTGCAGTGGTGTCCTTAAATGTGGCAGTCAGGATGATGCAGGTGCCAGTTTGGTCTTACCAGTACAGAGGATAACAGTGAGACTTTGAATCCTCTTGCCTCAGAATCGAGTAATTCTTTTCATGTAAACTTAGGCTCTCACTGTTTCCACTGTTTACCCCATCTATTTGCCATGAAGTGATGGGACCAGATGCCATGATCTTAGTTTTTGAATGTTGAGTTTAAGCCAGCTTTTTCACTCTCTTCTTTCACTTTCATCAGGAAACAATGGAAGCAGTCAGAGACTTTATTTTCTTGGGCTCCAAAATCACTGCAGATGGTGACTGCAGACATAAAATTAAAAAGATGCTTGCTCCTTGGAAGAAAAGCTATGACAAACCTAGACAGCATATTAAAAAGCAGAGACATTACTTTGCCGACAAAAGTCTGTCTAGTCAAAGCTATGTTTTCCAGTAGTCATGTACGGATGCGAGAGTTGGACCATTAAGAGTGCTGAATACCGGAGAATTGACGCTTTTGAACCGTGGTGTTGGAGAGGACTCTTGAGAGTCACTTGGACAGCAAGGAGATCAAACCAGTCAATCCTAAAGGAAATTAGTCCTCAATACTCATTGGAAGGACTGATGCTAAAGCTGAAGCTCCAATACTCTGGCTACCTGATGCGAAGAACTGACTCTCTGCAAAGATCCTGATGCCAGGAAAGATTGAAGGCAGGAGAAGGGGACGACAGAGGATGAGATGGCTGGATGGCATCACTGACTCAATGATATGAGTTTGAGTAAACTCTGAGAGTTGGTGATGGACAGGGAAGCCTGGTGTGCTGCCGTCCACGGGGTCACAAAGAGTTGGACACAACTGAGCGACTGAACTGAACAGAACCTTAGACTGAATCAGTAATCCTAGTATCCCACCACACTACTGTCTCATTGATTCCAATGTCAACTAAAACCATGGTAATTACAATTTATCCTATAGATGTGATACTAATTCTACAGGGACAGCGAGCATGAACTAGGGCTGTTTAGGGCACAACTAGAATGAATGGGAATGCTATTAAAGTACACGAGACTTCTTTTAGTTTAGCTTCCATAAAAGCCTAACTTTAGATATAACTTATGTTGAATAGCTGACGTTCTTGAAGTCAAGAGTAGATCTTCGTATTTTTCCCTATTAAATTTTTAAAATTAGTTTCCCTTCTTTGTCTTAGTTTGTTTTAGACCACTAACTGTTACCCAAAATCTTAATGATTCCTTACGTTCACTTAAGACAGACAAAAATAATGGCAGAATTACCAGTCTGAACTATTTCCTAATTTCAGAAAATCTTGATAAAAGTTCTAATTAATTTGGCCATTCCCAGAGCTTATATGATGGGACTAGGCTAGGTATGTAATAAAAGAACCTCACACTAAAAATGTTGAACACAAAAGCAAAATCATCTAATTCATGGTAAGTCAATACAGCAACCCGTTCTCCCAAGCAGAAATCAGATCATTAAAATCCACACATAATATACAAGCCCTCAATAACTTAACTACTCTTTTGTTAAATAATCTAGTCTTTATGTAGCAACCAATTCTGAAGCTTAACACTCAAGTGGATGATATCAAGTAAACTGCTTCCTGACCATTACTACTAGTAATAAAAATTACAAAGAGAATGAAGACAAAAACAACTAAACACCCCAATGTTCATCACAGCACTGTTTGTAATTGCCAGGACATGGAAGCAACCTAGATGCCCATCAACAGATGAATGGATAAGGAAGCTATGGTACATATACACTATGGAATATTACTCAGTCATTAAAAAGAATTCATCTGAATCAGTTCTAATGAGATGGATGAAACTGGAGCCCATTATACACAGTGAAGTAAGCCAGAAAGATAAAGACCAATACAGTATACTAACGCATATATATGGAATTTAAAAAGATGGTAACGATAACCCTATATGCAAAACAGAAAGAGACACAGATGTACTGAACAGACTTTTGGACTCTGTGGGAGAAGGAGACGGTGGGATGTTCTGAGAGAACAGCATTGAAACAAGTATACTATCAAGGGTGAAACAGATCACCAGCCCAGGTTGGATGCATGAGACAAGTGCTCAGGGCTGGTGCACTGGGAAGACACAGAGGGATGGAATGGGGAGGGAGGCGGGAGGGGGGATCGGGATGGGGAACACATGTAAATCCATGGCTGATTCATGTCAATGTATGGCAAAAACCACTACAATACTGTAAAGTAATTTAGCCTCCAACTACTAAAAACAAATGGAAAATAAATAAATAAAAAGCCTTTTTTTCATTCTCCAAAGTCCTGGCATATCAAACACTTCTAGTTCAATTTTTATCATCTGATGAACAAGAAATTCAGTGCCTTCAAGTAGTGGAATTAAGGTAAGGAGGTAGATATATGTAAATGAAATGTGAGTAAAAAACATGTAGTCTATGCATACTTGAACATGGAAACAAAACATGAGAAAAGAACCACAAGATGCAATAAATGTGCAAAGCTGTGGTCTGAATTTGCTAGCTGGATCTTTAAAAACGTGTTTGGCCCTTTTGTGCTCGTTAATGGCTTAACATGTACTTTTCACTTTTTACTTTTCTCAGTGATTTTCAGCGGGGAAAGCATATCCTTCTGGAGGAGAAAGGGCAATTAGAGGCCTATCAAAATGTAGGCAGGGATATATTTTTGCAGAGCTTGAAAGAACGCATTCAACACTCAAGGCAAAGTATATTCATTCCACAAACTACAGAACATAAAGCCTTAAGTGAAGGGCAAGAAAAGCATTGATGCACATGGCTAGTGGGTTCAGAAAAGATGACTTTAAAGGAACTCTGAGGGGTAGGATAATAAAAGTTGATATGGCTCAACTGTCTGACAGAAATGACTGGCTCTTAACATGACGACTCAGTGATTCTGTTGGAAAAACATGCTCACCTCCATGCAGAAGCACTGCTCGGCAGTTGGTGGACACTGCAGCCTTGGCATCACTTTCAGACAGCCCAAACAGCAACCCTCTGGGGGGTCGTTAAAGATTTCAGCCCAGAGTCAGCCGAGGACACCAGACTAACAGAAACATAACTGACAATGCCAGCTGCCCTGGCACCGAAAGAGACACTTTAATTCTACAGTTCTTAGCCCAAATGGAAAAAGCATTTGAGAAAAGACTCATTTAACTCTAAACTTTTACTCTTCCCCTTCTTTTCTACTTTACCCTTCATCCAGAAAACAAAAGGATAAAGCACTTTAAGTCTGATGTAATTTGTTTTTGAAGCTCTCAGTTGATAAACTTATAGTTTTAAAACTCCTGTTAAAGTTTAATATATCAAATTCCAAATTTCCTAAAAGAAAATTGCAATGACTTCTTATTCAGAAAAGGATACAAGTTTGCCACATCGTATGGGCCTCTTATTTCTAAAGGCTAAAATAAAATGAACAAAAAATAGATATGAGAGAAGTTATTCATAACATTTCAATGACTTCATCTGCAGTAAATAGGATGCTTAAGTATCTAAAAATAAGGAAGTCAACTGCATAAATTTAAGTCGTTATAATTTTGATGGGTTTCTTACATTTTTTAAAATAAAAAAGATCCTTGAAAAGCATTTTACAACAATATAAAGGAAAGACTATTTATATAAACAAAATTTGAAGCCTCAAAAGAATGGGGATAAATAGGGATAAAATTGCTCTTCAGCAATTACAATGAGCAAATGAAGTTAACAATGCAAACACAGCCTTTTATTACATTACTATTCTAATTTCTGCCCTAGAAACCTTTTAGTTTTAAAACTTGAAAAGTGAAAACAAAGTACTTAATGCCAGACTTACCCTTTCTGCAGCACTAGATATAATTACATTCTACAAAATAGAAAGTAATCAACATTAATCTTAGATAAATGTGGGAAAAAACTGAAGAGTCTTACAATACAAATAACCAGCAATCAAATTTTAACATAAACACCAACTTCTTCTTAAGATAAGGTACATAATTAAAGTGATGGATGAAAGACCTCATGTCAGACTAAAAGCAACCTAAAGTAAGAAACAGAACAGGCCTTCCCAACAGATCTTAGGAAAGATGAATCAGTTTAAAAAACTAGTTGAAAAGGGCATGTAACCTTAATTCAACTCAATGAGGACAAATAATTGCTCTCCAGACTGTTCTTTCACAGTAGGTAAATGGCCAATTCTTTACTGAAAGATAAAGACTTTCAACACATCTTCCCCCCTTCATGTTCTTTTTCCCTAGGGTATTTTTATTTCTCTTAAAACCTGCAGAGCCTGGTGAAATGGGAGAATTTGTTCTTGGGCCTTGAGAACTTTTTGCTCTAAGGATCAGCTGAATAACCCCAGTATATTAATAATAAACAATCAGATTTGAAAAACATCCTAAAATTATGGAACCATACCTTTCCTTTGCAGACCTGCATCAAATTGAGGGCGTTGGAAATTGTGTACCTTCTCATCGTGGAGTCTTTGATAGCAGGGCTATAGAGAAGTTCAAAGCCCACTCCTCGGTCAATTGCCTTCACAGGAAACAAAGGAAACAAAACTGTCAAGGCTAACACACACTGTCTTACTTTATTTTCACTGAACTTCCCTCTCACCTCCTTCCTCACCCTGTCCCTCCTCGCCTAACTCATGCATGTCCAGGAATAGCTTTGAAAAAAGGCATATTTGTGCTTGGATGGCACCATCCATGGGAGAAAAAAAGATCTTTGGCTCTATTTGATCAACAGAGTTTATCTGAGCTGTCGGGAAGCTGACTTTATATAAACAGGAGTCATCAAGAGACCGAGGAGAGCAATGTCCCAGTGGTATGGCAGAAGGGCTACTACTCCATGAACTAGCAAAAGGAAATCGGAGATGTGTTCCCTACAGGCAGGGTAGACTGTTTGCAAATGTAGTAAACCAACTAATTTGATCCAGAATGAAGAGACAAAAAGTGAAGAACTCAAAAACATCCTAAGAACAGGAGTAGAAGGCATCTAGGGTAAGTGATCTAGTATGCAAATGCTGAAGAAAGAAACACAAACAGCCAAGAAGTGCTATGTGCCAGGCACTGTGCTGAGAGAGTCTTATGTATTTATTCAACACCCACAATGCCTAGAAAGCACTATGGCAGAGACAGCTAACTGTCCCGCTCTGATCTCCCCATTTTCTTTACTAATGGAGTCAGTATCTTAAGTGGGGTTCATGAATGCCCAGCAAAAACAATGAAAGCAGCCTGCATCCCTGACATTGGCCAGCTTGCAAGCTTGGCCTTCTACATGAGAAAAAGAAACTTTCTTGTTTAAGGTGTTCTTAATAGGGTGGAATCCACAGGTATCCACAGGTAACATCTTATTTAAAAATTTTAGATAGATGAAACACAGAATACCTGAGCTCCTGCTTCCAAGACCATTTTAATGTAAACTGCCTTAAGCTCCTCAACTGACTGTTCAGCCTGGAAGAGGTGGCAATGGGACTAAATCCACCACTACACTATTCCGCTTCCCTGATGAGTGATTTGCATCTTCATCCATTTACAAGAGAGGGGTTTCAAGCCAGCTGTGCATGGGAATGGTGAGCAAAAGCTTACATGGTTCTTCTCTTCTAAAAACTTCCGGTTTAGTGGGGAAGGCCAACAAATAATTACACAAAAATTAAAAACTTCCACTGTGCTAAGTAATGTCAAGGAGACGTCTAGGTGCAGGTGAGGAAGGACTTAATCAGTTAAATAGCAGCAGAGTGAAGCACGTGCACAGGGCGGGGTGGGGGTGTGTATATGAAGAGGCTCCAGGGTTGGAGGGAGTGGTGGAGAAGGTCAAAGGCTGGGGAGGAGAGGAGGTGGAGGGCCCTGTGGTGGGAGTGGAGGCTGGAAGAGGATGGAAGGGCCAGCAGTGCAGGTCTTTAGAATAGAGACAGAATTAATCTTAGTAGCCACACAAAGCATCTAAGGATTTTCTCATGGAGGTGATGATTAGAGTCTCGATGGCAGCAGCGGTCTCTTGAAGGAACCAAGTAAAGCAGGCAAAGCCCAGGAGGTAGATGGGTTGGGACCTGTCCAGCTGGGACAGCTGGAGGTCTATTCCTGAGTGTAACAAGGAATGCAAAAAATCTGTCTTCTGAATACAGACTTTTTTTTCATTCCCTAATCTTCCCTTTCCTTTTCTTCCTGCCTTGAGGTGCCCAGATTTTATTTTAGCTTCCCTATATATCTGATCCTAGTTTAGTTAGCATTTACACACTGTTTTCTACACCACAATCTCCCCCTCTCCTTTTTTTCTGACAGCTTCTTCCTGCCCCCAATTCTTTGTCTTGTGTTGATTCTATCTGGGAATAATGTCTGCTATGATATTCTTTGGGGCACAGATACATCCCATTCTCCCTGTCTAGCTTGGACATCTGGAAGCTGGAATCATGATACTTCTCTGTAACACTGAGCTGTTCTTTTATATAAAAAGCACTTAATATATTAATATTCTGAGGGAATAAATAGTAGCTTATGGAAAAGAAGTCATATGATAATGCTGTTCATTATGGATTATCCATCATAAAAGAAACCAGGGTTAATTTGGCAAATTGAAATTCACAGATAAACCAAGTCATGTCTTTCAACCATATTCTCAACTATCCCCCTGGCTATTTCTCTAACCAAAACTACTAATTAGCCAAAGAGGCTTATTACATGTACTTCTTTTCCTCATCCCTCTAGGTGCTGAACTAAAGCACAGGTCAGTAAGATGGAGAAGAGGAGAAATAAAAGATGCAGGTGACACAGAGAACTAGGTGACCAGGTTCCAAAGTATTCTTGCTACTTCCCCCACCTCCCGCCCCCTTGGGGACCAGAGCAAAATAAAAACTTTTTTGGGCGTGGTGAGGGTTAAATGGACACAATTATCCATTTAATTATTTTTTAAGAAAAAAGTTCTGATTCTGATCTTAGTACATTAATCAAATTCACTTTTAAAATGGAAAGAAAACTCAGAAACTGAAGATAATGTGCTACTGAAGGCTGTGAACACGTCTTTCATAACACTTTATTTAAAAATTTTTAGATAGATGAAATACAGACTCATTACCTGAGCTCCTGCTTCCAAGACCATTTTAATGTAAATTGCCTTAAGCTCATCAACTGATTGTTCATAACAGCTTTTTCATAAAGAATGCCAGTGCCTGCTTGATTAGCTTTTGTTTGCATCTCTGACCAAAGGTTCTGGAATAATCAGATATTTCTTTACTAATGAGAAATAACTCATAACGATGCTACAAACCAAGAGCAGGTGTGTGACATGTGAAAAGATAGTGGTGGTAAAATTCCAAGAACTAAAGCAAAGCTTAAGAGAAAGAAGAGAAAGAAAATAGGGGGTTGATTACTGGGACAATATACAGATTCCTGTTTATTTCATAAAAATCAGTTCTTTACTGAAGTGCAGAGGAGGACACTCTTGGTGTATCACTCTTTGAGGTAGGTAACTTGTTCATACGATTCACATATCAAGTAACACAAGAAAGCAACAAAAAGTCTTAATTGTATCTCTGCTCCTGTTTGCCCCACCCCCACCTCCCATAATCACTTTTATTAATTTCTTCTGTCTTTTCCCAGAGTTTCTTCATACAAATATAAGCAAATATGAACATCTGTTTTCCTCTTTCTTACCCCAAAGGTAGCCTACTACATTGTGGTTCTGCCTTGAAGGGTTTTCCATGTCAGTTCCTAACTTCAGCATCGCTTTAGAACTGTAGTACTCCATTGAAGAGGTATGGCATGCTTAACCAAGCCTCTGACAGTTTTCAGTTGTTCCGATATACCTGCAGAACAAACGCTAAGGTGGGATTGCTGGGTATTACGGATTGAATTGTGTCTCTTATGAAGGTTATGTTGAGGTCCTAATTAACTCAGTATTTAGGATATAACCTTATTTGGAAACAGGGTCACTATAGATGTAAATTAAAATGAAGTCATGCTGAAATAGAGCAGACTACTATTCCAGTATGACTGGTGTCCTTATAAGATGATGACCATGTGAAGACATAAGAGACACACAATAAAGACAGAGGCAGAAATCAGAGCTATGCAGCTGCAGGCCAACGACCACCAAAGATTGCCAGCAAATCACAAAAAGCTGGGAAGAGACAAAGAAGGATCTCCCTAACTGGTCTCAGAGGGAGCATAACCCCATAATGTCTTGATTTCAGACTTCCAGTCTCCAGAACTGTGAGTTCATGCATTTCTATTAGTTTAAGCCACCCCATTTGTGGTACTCTGTTATGATAACCCCAAGCAACTAATACACTAGGTCAGAGGGTAAAGCATGTATAATTTTGATAGCTGTTGCCAAATTAACCCTCCCTCATATGGATTGCTCCACTTTCACAGTTACAATCAAAGCATGAGAATCCTTGCTTTCCCACAGCCTTACAACCATGTGTCATCAAACTTCTGGGTTTGTGCCAATCAGATAGGTGATTTTTGATGTGAATTTCTCTTAGCATGATGAATATAAGCATCTTTTCATATGTTAACAGCCTATTTGTATTTCCTTTCCTGTGAAATGTCCTTTTCATACTCTTAATCCATTTTTTTGGATTGAACATCTCTCTCTTTTTTAAGCTTATCAACTTCTGTATGCATGTTTAGTCACTCAGTCATGTCTGACTCTTTGCGACCCCATGGACTGTAGTCCGCCAGGCTTCTCTGTTCATGGGGATTTTCCAGGTAAGAATATTGGAGTGGGTTGCCATGCCCTTCTCCGGGGGGATCTTTCCCACCCAGGGATCAAACCCAGGTCTCCTGCATTGCAGGAGGATTCTTTACCGTCTGAGCCACCAGGGAAGCCCTATCAGCTTCTAGCAGCTCTTTATATATTAAAGAGACTAGCCATTTGTCTGTGACATAAGTGAACCTATTTCCACAGTCTGTCATTTCTGATGGGTTTTTTTTTTTTGCCACACAGACATTTTTTGATACTGCTAAGTTTGCTGGCACTGCTCCAAGCACTAGATCCCTAAAGTACTTAACACATTTAGGTTCACAGTGTATGTGATGAAAAATAAAGTTTATAGAGCAGTCACACCCAACTCAAGGATATATGGAAAGATTCCTGGAACAATCTCATTGCTTCAGATACTATTTACTGGATTTCTCTCAGTGGGGACTAATTGGACCAAGAAGACAAATGGATTAGGGTTAGAGAAAATGCTGAAGGGAAAACTTCACAAAGAGAGCATAAAACATACAATCATTGACAATAGCTCAAAAAACTTAAGTTGTTGTTGAATGGCAAAACACTGTTTAAAAAAAAAAATCAAAGGGAAGGTGAAGATAGGTGTTGCTTAAAGAAAATTCTTCTCAAAACCTGATTTCATAAAGACTTTTTAAAGTATGAAATTACTCTGTGCTTAACAAAGAGCTCTGCTGTAAATATCATTTAAATAGCATTTCCCAAGAGGAAAATGACAGCAGATTTAGAATCAAAGCTTGAGTACAAATCCCAAGTTAACCTTTGAGAGAGATGTGTACCTGTTGTGAGATGCAAGCTACCTGAGTCTCAATTATATCACCTGCATAATAGAGAGAATTCACATCTACCCCACCTTAAAGCTGCAGGCTGAGAGCTTAGACCTTAAAATGCTATTAGAGGTCATTTGGTTATCCAAGAAGAGGAGCTGAATTCAACTTTCTTGAAACCCAACTATAACAAGATAAAATGATTCTATTACAAGTTACTCAGACTTCAGAGGAGGTTTGTAGGAGATTCTAGAGGGAATTAACATACCTGAAATTATGGTGCCCTAAGCATGTGGTGAAGATACCAAGAGGGATGAAAGCTGAAAATTATTTATAAGGAATGCTTTGGTATGTCTTAGTTCCTGGGCCCTCCTTCCTAATTGCAACCTTCTTTTACTTCTTTTTTTAAAGCTTTATTGAGGGATGATTGAAAAATATAATGTATATATTTAAAGTATATTATGTGATCATTTGATACACATACTCTACATCAGGGGTCCCCAAGCCATGGACCAGTAGCAGTACATGGCCTGTTAGGAACCTGGTCACACAGCAGGAGATGAGAAGCGGGCGAAAGTGAAAACATCTATCCCCTCCCCCAAGCCCCGAGTCCATGGAAAAATGTCTTCCAAGAAAACAGTCCTTGGTGCCAAAAAGGTTGGGGACCATTGCTCTACAGTGCAGAATGATTACCAAGATCAAAATAATGAATACAACCATCACCTGATGCAGTTAACATTTTTTTTTCCCCCTGTGGTGAGACTGCTTAGGATCATCTCTCAACTGCTTTTAGGTTACAATACTGGACTATTAACTACGGTCACCCATGCTGTATATTAGAACCTCGGCACTAGTTCTTTTTCTAAGTGAAAATCTGTACCCTTTGACTTAAAATCCCAACTTTCTGCGCTGATAATTCTCACATTCCTTATGGCCAGGAGGTCAAGACTAATGAATTAAATATTGTACTACTCCTTTTTTTTTTCACCACTCCATCCAAACTAAGATCTGTACCCAATACTGTGATCCTTATAAACCAAACCAACAACTTGTCACGGTCAAAGACAAATTCATTCTAAGGGCCGAAAGAGCATGCAAGGACCAACACTTAAGGCTAAACTGTTCCCCACATTCACTACATCTTCTGTATTTTCATGGGGAATATATTTCCATACTTTAAGCATACAAATCCAGAATAGGTATAATTATCAGGTATAAATAATATACACACATCTATGCAACTACTCTTTATTTACACTGTACAACAAGCTTGATAACTTTTATTGTATCAATATGCTTCTAGCTTTTAATTTAATTTTAGTTAATTTAACTTTTAATTCCAGTTTCTTTTAAATGAAAAAGAGGTGAATGAAACTAACAGGGACTCTTCTGCTTCCTGACCAATTCACACCGCAGCCTACTTATACACTAGACGAAGACTAAAAATAAGACTGCACAGCCTTCCCTCCACTCCATCATCTAGTTTTTATTAAACAACATATGTAACATGTTCACACCAGATTTTAAAAAAAGCAGACACTGTGTTAAATACTGCATATCCGTCTCACTTGTCAAATTTTTACTTTTTAGAATTCTTATATTAAAAAATGTGGGAATGTGGCCAAAAATATCCATCAAAAAATAGTACCTTCCTGAACTTACAGAGGGAATTGGAAGGTGGGCTGTCCTGGTGCGTCTCCTCCTCATGCTGCCCCAGTGCCCCACTCCTCTCACTGCGGAGGCTGCCTGCCGAGCCCTGACAACCAGCTAGGGTTAACGGCTTGCAGGATTTGCTTGTGTTCCCCAAGTTGTACCTTGACAATATGAAATTAGATGTATACTTGTTCAACTGAAAATTTTAGGCAGGACTCATTAAAGAGAAGGTATTGGGGTAATTAAGAAAAGACCATGACACGGCTGGTACTTCCCAGAAGCTTACAATCTGGGTTGAACAGTACGGGACGTTCATAAGAAACCAAGAGAAAGTCATCACCAAAACTGCCACTGGGTAGCTTAGCACTGTTGTGGGATGAGAAGAATTAAGTGCCGTGAACTGCTGTCCATTCCATGGACTTGGCCTTAGCATCACATGCCACTGTGTCCTCCTAACCAAGAACACAGTATTGTATGTGGGTTTACTCAGGCAAAGTCATCTAAAAAATGGCCTTCCTTGTTCATAAGGGTGAAGAAAAAAGTAAAGAAGTTGAAAGTTCAAGAGCCATTTACATGTAAACTGGAATGGCAAACTGAAGCTGGTAAAAAGCCTTGGCAAACTTCTGGAGACAAAGCCTGCTCCCTCAGGGGAGGAACACCATGTGAGGCCAGGAAGACTGTCATCACGTCAGGTACACTGTTGGTTGGAGCTCTCAACATGGTAGCTGGGGCACACTGGAGGTCTCACCCAATGGAGGTCAATCTGGTCTGTCCCAACCCTGGGCCGGGAGAGCTGTACAGCTTCTGCTTGCCTTCATTTGACCATTTTTAAAAAGTGTTTCCTCATTTATTTGTAAGTACTGGCAAGAACGCAGGGAAACAATGATTTGAGCGTGTTGTTAAATATATGTTCAGTAGTATTCTCATTATTAATCAGCAAAGAGCTGTTTTATAGTTTTCCCTTTAAATATATAACTTTAAAATTTTGAATACTTTTCAAAATATTATTCCTGAATGCTTCAGTAGCATACATTCAGGGGTGAAACATAAGCCATCTTAAACTTTTTCCACATCGGATTCAATTTTTCCATACCATACAGATCGATTTTCTCCTTTACAGTCTCTGCCTATTCTCAGCATCAAGCCAACTCCTTAGCAGCAGACAGGGAAACAAAAGATTGTCCAGAGACAAATGAATAGGGGAGTTACCTATCCTGAAAAAAAATCCATAAATTTTTAATTTTCCAATTCTGACGGGGCGGGTATGTAATCTAGACTGTTAAACCTTTTTCTCCTTCAACAGCGCTTTTTGAGAATGGGAATCAGTTTCAGAAGCCTCTGTTCTAAAATAGCATCCTGACTCCTCCCAGGATCTGGCTGCCAATGCAAACAGTTGACAGCTGTGCCAACCTTATAGCTCCCAAAGTGAAGCAACCTCACTTTCATGATAGAATAAGACTTATAAAAGGTGTGACAGATGGAAGATAACGAGTAGAAGAAAATGAGAAATTATGTAGAAAGGTAACGAGAAAGATTCTATGGCAGAGGAAGGAGTACAAGGCAGGATCATCCTCCTTGGTTATTACGAAAGTCATGCTGGGCTTTTGTGTGAGCCAGCACACCTTGGTGCAGACTGTCACTGGGCACAGACCATGCCTGCCGTGCTTTCCACTGCCTGCCCTCCCTGCCCCTGCCACTGCCATCCCCTTTCCAGACTGCTGCTGCCATTCCCTCCTCCTTTCTGGGCTTCTCTGTCTCCTTAATATGCAACATGCAGACTGTAACTGTCCATTATTATTAGCTATCCTCTTATGAAACGTCCTTCACACAGTTAAGTTTCTAAGGCCTTTCAAACACACCTTGGTAATTTACTAGTTATTTTTTATATTAAGCTTTCTTTCAGCCTTTAGTCAGCTTGCACAAAAAAATCCTTTGTCTATTTATTACTAGCCTTTGATTTTTCCCCTCTAAAAACAGCGGTTTCCTCTGTCCCTTTCCCAGCATGTTAATGCACATCTAGAGAGACACATAGAGAACAAAATGTGACACTTACCACATTAATAGGGGGTCTTTTGAAATAAAATGGTAGCTTCTCTGTTACAGTTATGCAGACTAAATCCACATCTAAATGTGTACAAGCAACCTGTCAAGAAGAAAACACAAGTAAAACCAAAAGCAAAACTGGCACATGTTAAGAATGGGGTAGGGTCAAACATGCCATAAAGAAATGTAAATAGATACGGCTCACTCAATAGACACTGTAGGGTTCTGTGTTCAAATGCATCCGTCCTTTTGCAAAGCCAACGGTTAGCCACTCACATTTGGTTTGAATGGTTTAGCTGTAATCCAGCTGAAGTAGGGTGATATGTCTACAGAAATCTCAACAGACATGGTCCAGAGACCCTCTAATCCACAGTCAGCTACACAAGGAGAGGTTGCTAAGAGAGGCTCAATTTCTGGAAGGTTACTTCAGACTGTTCCAGAAAAAGGAAACTGCTCTGATACCAAGAAAAAAGAAAAGTTAAAAGGAATGTATGCATGGTCCACTTTCTCCAGAAATTATTTATTTTTGTGCCAGCAATTGTCCCACGTCTATGGGTCCAAACAGTCTACTGAGTGGTCAAAGAAACCTTACATGGCACTACCAACAGCATTTTGTTCAAACGTTAATAGAAACAAAGCATCTCCACAGATGGTCAAAGGAGAACTGTTGTAAATCAAATGATTCTGAACGCATTTTTTTTCCAACTGTTAATTTCTCTTTCCTTTCTTCTCATTTTTGCTATTACCTGTTGACACTCTGCATTTACTTCCAAAAGAGATCTGAAACTGCTTATAAAAAAATACATGCAAGACAAAATAAATAGATAAGGAAATGAGGATAAAAGGAAGAACAGGGAAGGAAAATAAAGCTGAGGAGCAGTTACTAGCTTAAACGTGCAGGCCAGAAGCTGCACATCCAGCTCTCATTTTGCCATTATTTGATTTACAGAGATAAAAAGAATTGGCTCTTCCCTACTATGACAAAAAATAAGCCTCATTATCAATGCCGGTATAGTCAGGCTTGATGAACAAATTCAAGCTGCCATGGGGGCTGTGCTGCCAATCTAACATCAGTGGCAATGACCAAGAGAAATGGGTCGAGAGGGGGTGACAATGCCCTGTAGGTAGGCTCGACCTTCCACAATGACAGGACTGTCACATCTTCTACTTCTTCTTCAGAATCCCTGCTCCACTCATTGTTACCCCCACCTCAGGGTTCCAGGGAGCAGGGAGTGATCGGAGGCTGCCTGGCTTTAAGACAGTCACAGTAACTTAGTAAGCCTGGGAAGTAATGCTGCTCTGGCAGACACTCTGCTCATAAAGGACCTGTCCTATCCCAACTGCTACAGCTGTCTAACTCATAAAAGTCATTGAAAATTTGCTAAGAATAGATGAGAAAACCTCTGAATAGCAGGTGAAACTAAAACAAATTCAGCTTCTGTTTGCCATTTTTACACTATCAGGTTGGCAAAGATCATAAAGTTTAGTAATATACGGGTGACACAAGAACAAACAGGGACTCACAGGAGTTTTAAATCAGGACTGTCTTGAAAAGCATTTCAGCAATAGGTATCAAGATTTTACATGCACACATCAGCAAATTTCACCTATAGGAAAGTATCCTATAGAGACCAGAAGTGTATTCTATAGCTCTATACCCTACAAATGCTTCAGGATATTAGTCAAAGAACATTTGCTGCAGTACCAATCACAAAAGACTATACACAACTAAACATTCCTCAATTTTACCTAAAGAAAACAGGGTTGCTTTACACAATAGAATATGATGACTCTTTACATGCAATGAGGTACCTCTCTAATGGATATTATGGAACCATCGCCAAGATACACTGTCAGGTGAACAAAGCAAGGTGTCTGGAAGGAAGGCAGGAAAGAGGGAGAGGGGAATGAAGAAGGACTGGGTAAAAATACTTCTGAAAAGAAACCTAAGAACTTCTGGCTGTGGTTGCCTCTAAAGAAATGGCACAAGGCGTTTTAGTAGGAGAATGGTCTACTTTTCAGTGTTTACCTCTTTGCACTCTTTGAATTTATTATTACAAGTACAAATTATTTTTCATTTCAAAAAGCTGATTCATTTCTTAAAAGCCTGTAAAAACATTCTTCCCCAGAGTAAAGCTAAATTAGGTTACTTTTAGGTTACTTGCTTATGTATTGCTCTTTTCTCCCCAGGGTTAATTTTAAAAAAATCCTTTGTGTTGGTTTAAATACACATATTATAATAAATTTTCAGTTACAAAGGACAGCTTTACTTGGCACCTTAGACTTAAAATGTCTCAAACCAAATTCTTTTGTTATTTAGCTATTAATCCAAATGTTCAACTGATACACTTAGGTTAACTATAAAATAAGAGTTAATGGTCACATTATAATGAAATACTTTCTAAATCATTAAAAATTACATTATGTCCAAATACTTGTGATTAAGAATTTGATTATAGTGGTTTTGGCAGGTTGTATATGAATTCATATGAACTGTTCTTAATCTTCCTCTGGCTAAGGACTCCTCTGAGGATTTAAGGAAGGTATTCCCCAAATGGTACATACACTTATCTTTGACTTTATGGAACAAAGGGAATAAGAGGGAGAAGGTTCAGTCTCCCCAAATCCTTCATGGATGTCAGGTTGGTACATCCTGGTGTTTTATGCAAGGGAGAGTCAGGCTTGCCAGTGAAAAGAGATGCCCATAAATGGATCCTCCCAACCTAACCTGTGTTAAAAAAAAAAAAAAAAACCTTCCCCTGAAGAATTTGCTTAAAATGGAGATTACCAGGCCCTACTCCCAGCAATCAATTCAGTAAGCAGGGTCTAATCACCTGCATTTTAACAAATGCTCATGGCAAATCTGACACCAGTGCAGCCAGACCACACCTTAAAAGGAGCCTGGAAAGATCCGCCCTTTCACTAGCCTCAGGTGTTAGTACAATAATGCTCTGCAAAGGGTAAGGCATGGATTTTGGAAGCAGGAAGAAAAGAGAACTTCAGTTTTCACTTATTTTTAATTCCTTCTCTTAAAATATTTTGTTCAGTGTGTGTATATTATTTCATAAAGCACACTGATATAATGGGGCATGCAAATAATTTAAAAGAAAATAAACACACACATACTGGGGATGTAGGACCAGTATTTTTTCAAATTGATATAGTACACACTCAAAGTAGATTGGAGGCCGCTGGACTAAACAGCCTGAATTCTCCTCACCCTGTCCACTCCTAAATGGGAATAACAATGAGAAAGAATATAAAGAAGAATATATATGTTTAATTGAATCACTATGCTTCACAGCAGAAATTAACACAACAATCAACTATACTTCAATAAAAAAAAAAAAATCCTAAATGGGAATAACCAAATCAGAAGCTCCTGAAACTTCTATGTAACTCTCTCTGCCACATTCCACAGCCACCCACAACCCAAGAAGCCCTGGCCAATGGACTCAACTTTCATCTTTGCGTTATTCCCTGGGGTAATTATGGAGGAAAAGGGCTTATCTATGAGATATCTTTCAGCTACTCTGAGTGGAAACTAGTATGTTAATTCCCATGGAATTATTTAAGGTGGTTAGATTTCATACTACTAACAGTTAACATGTGTTTAGGAATGCTTTTATGACTCATTTTAGAGACCTTAGTTTTAGAATATCCTATCTACAGAGATATTTGCCTACATTCTAAATAATCCTTACCAAACAAATAAAATCACTTAATAGAATATAACCTGTTAAGCAACAAATTGCTTGCATTTGACCCAATTTCAAGCTTTATGATTAAAAGAAAAATCTTTTTAAATGGATTTTCTATCGAAAACAAGGAGTGCCAACTTCAACTGAATATTAAAGAATGGGTAAGATATGGAAAAATGTTCTGATTTTAAAAACTGTTTTTTCTACAGTCAATTCCAAACAAATACTCTGCCAGTTAGTTATAGCTTTTATCCATCTTCCAGAATATTTCTGATTCCTCCACCCACCATCATGGATTACATGTTCATACCTCTGACCTAAAATTTGAGAATAATCTGAGGAAAACAGTAAGATAAATTCACTGAATCAAATATATAATGCAGTCTAAAATCCTAGTCCTAGTTCTATGACATGCTACCTGAGGTTTAGAGCGAATCATTTAGCCTGAGTTTCAATTTTCTTGTCTACAAAATGGGGATAATAATAAGCATCCATCTCAATTACCCCCTGGGATGCTGTTTTCTCTAATCACATAAATGGCTATGGAAATGTACGATGTATGCTCTTCAAAATCAATTCAAAACAACACAACAGTGCAATAAAAAATTAGGGATACTACCAACTTTTAGTCTACATTATAACTGAGTTGTTAATATTTAATAAAAAAACTAAGTTGTTGTTTAACAAATCTGGACATATCCATGTTTCTCTTAAGGGTTTCCACACTGAATCAGAATCCCATGTGGAACTTAAAAAAACAAATACCCAAGCTCAACCCCAAATCTACCTAATCAGAATCTCCCATGGTGGAGATCTGAGCCTGCCTGATTTTAAAAGGTTCCACAGGGGTCTCTGATGCCTAAGAACCACTCGATCCCACTTCCCTTTTTTCTGAAATGAAATTCTAGAGAATTATGATAACTGAGCATTTAGAAAAGGAGTCACCAAAGAAGTGGAATTCATTGCCTACTTGTGCTGTTTCCCTGCATTAATATAAACAATAAAAACTGTGAATGTACCTCAAAAACTAAATTTATCACATACGAGTCTCCTTAGTCAACAGCTCCATCTACTGGAATAAACTTAGGGAAAATCTTATAATTTTAGAACAGACTACTTAAAAATCGATTATGCTGTAAAATTAAAACATCAAAGACCAGCTCCTTAATATCCCTTTGGTGGATACACTTTGGATAGATGGCTATTTTCTTGAACCTAGTCAAAGTCAACATTCCGAAATTTCTAAAAGCAGCTATATCTCACTTTACACAGTAAAACATATTCCTGAAAAACTATTATTACAGTTGATATCTTTCTTCCTGTGATCACTAACAATACCCAGTGTGTTCTGCAAGCTGAGAAAATGAGCACATACATTAAACAACTTTCCCTCCTAAAAAGTCACAGAAAAGGCCATTTGAAAAGGACAAAAGAAATTCATAAAGGTTCTCTTAAACAAAAAGGAACAGTACCAGCAGATAGTTGATTCTCAAGGATTTCTAGAAGACCATGATCATGCTAGCCTATGGACCACACCTCAGAGCAAAGAAGCTAAGCAGAGAAGGATCTTTTATGCCACAGTAGAATCTTGTGCCTTTCTTCTGTAACAGGTAGCAGCAAATAGCAAGGACAGAAACTGAAGTGGTAGAGAATCCATTTGCTAATGCAGGAGACTCAGCTTTGATCCCTGATATGGGAAGATCCCACGTGCCATGGGGCAACTAAACCTGACAGCCACAACTACTGAGGCTTACTTGCCCTAGAGTTCTACAACAAGAGAAGCCACCTAAAACAGAAGCCCATGCAATACAATAAAAAGCAGCCCTCTGCCCCACAATCAGAGAAAAGTCTGCACAGCAAAGACCCAGCACAGCCATAAGTAAAAAAATAAACAAAATTATTTTTTTTAAAAAAGATAAAGACTTGATGGACTCTCTTAATATCAGCCCATCAAATATATAGCAGAACGAACAAAACAAATATGCCACCCAAATACACCCTCAGGCAGTTCCAGGACTCCACGTATAAGTGAAAAATCCTCAATGCTTGCAGATGAGATGAAACAGGTCATCTACAAAGGTACAACATCAGACTTCTTACGTAAAATAATGAGTACTATTTTCTTTTATTGTTACTTACATGAAAAAGTTTTTCTGTCTTTGGAAAAACTGCAACAATATCATACAGCCGGACTCTTGAAGAAGTTGCTCTCTAGTAAAATGAAAAGAATGTTACCATACAGTAACAACACAACAAAAATGCTTATGGGATTCTGACTAGTGTCCTGGCCGCACTTATATTTCAATCTTGTAATATTTATAATATGCCACTGACAATTTTGCTTTGCTTTGTATGTTGACAGAAAAGACTTTCTCAGCATCTAAGATTCTAGCTATCAACATCCATCTCACCAATCATCTCTCCTTCCTTCCCACACTGTCATGCTTTACCTGTGTATCAAACATTTCATTTGAGACACAAAAATCAAATTAGACAGCTCCTGCTCTTATAAGCTAGTGGAGGAGCTTGCCAGAAATTTACTGAGCACCTGCTACGTGTAGGGCACTAGGGATACAAAATCATTTAAGGCATATGTCTGCTTTCAGTGGAGCTTATCATTTTTTGGTGAGATGAGAAATACACATGACTAAGTATGATGTCATTAGGTTCACAATGAGAATACTGTTAAATACAAATTAAACTGCTAGATGTGTAAGAAAATAATCAAGAGTCCTCTGACAGAAGGAGAGAGATTTATCAGTTAAAGATGGTTTATACAAGAAAGTCTCAAACTGATACTGCATGTGTATGCATGTGAAAAGCCTGAAAAAATAAATATTCAAGTATATAATCACTGAATGATGAGATAATATGTGCTATTTCTTCTTTCCCTTTGGTACCTTTAAATTTTTTACCTCTTATTCTGTACAAAGAAAAAGCATGATAAAAACTAAAGGAGGAAACAGAATGGTTGAAGAGACGCAGCATTGAGGAGCTAAGCGAACCCACTGGGGAGATGCATGCCAAGACAGGGCAGGTTCTAGATCTCAGAAAAAGTCAGGATCCAGTACTCTTTGTCCTCTGCTTGACACTCCCACTTGGGATAGGGACTGAAAGGGGCCACCAGGATGTTCATGGTAACACGAGAAAAATCAAAGTCTGTGACCATAAAAAGTCAACTCTGTCTCCCCAGGCTTAGAGAAGCAGAATGCAGCCTGAAGCTATAAAAAAACCCCAAAATTTGGTTTTTCATAATTTCTTTAGCAATGTTAATTGTTAGAAAGGAGGCCAGCCCTTCCTTGATTACTCCTTTTCTATGAGAGAGGAGGCCATTCCAGCTAATGATGAAACAGCTCAGATTCTCAGAGATCTCACTTTCTCCCTCACTGGTTCTTCACATCAGCACCAGCTATTTGCAAGTCTCCATTTGACGAACAAAATCGAGACAGCAGGTTCTCACCAGCCTCCCAAGCCTTCTGTTCCTCCATGGAGTCAAGTTTCTTAAGCAAAGTTAGCAGCAGACACTGGCTGTATTTTCTCATAGCCCAATCATTTCCATGGAAATGGCTTTTCGTAAGGCAACCAATGACCACCATGTCATTAGGGAACTTGGCTGTCCAAGACATGTTTTAGCCCTTCTGCTACTTGCCTGAGCACTCAGGCACGCCGATGCTGCTCACCCTTCTCATGTTCCTCACTGTCTACCTACTCCCCAGATGGCCCGTCTCAGTCTCCCATCCTAGTTCACTCTCTACTCCACCACTGAACATAGATGTTCCGCAGGATTCCGTCCCAGACCTTCTCCTCCCACATTATACTTGGACCGGGGAGTCTCATCCATTCTCATGAGTACGATTACTCTCTACAAGGTGACCACTTCCAAATGAGTATCTTGAACTGGGGTCCCTCTTCTGAGGGCCACACCCTTCTTTTGACAAGCTCCACTTGAACTCTTGCGGCTTCCCTGGTGGCTCAGTCAGTAAACAGTCTGCCTGCAATGCAGGAGACCTGGGTTAGATCCCTGGGTCAGGAAGATCCCCTGGAGAAGGAAATGGCAATCCACTCCAGTATTCCTGCGTGGAGAATTCCATGGACAGAGGAACCTGGTGGGCTACAGTCCACGGGGGTCACAAAGAGTTGGACATGATTGTGACTTTCTTTTCACTGAAACTCTTAAAATAACCTACTGTGTCTGAAACATGGTGACCGACACTTACTTCTCTTTGTGTGTTTCACCTCAGGAAATGGTACCATTTCCTTATCTGGCTGCTCAAGCCAAAGCCTGAGTCACCACCTTCGAGCCAATCAACAGCAAATCCTGTCAATCCTCCCTCCCCCACCTTTATCCCTTTGTCAAATCCCTTCCTCTATCCCCTTTGATCCATTCTCTGTAATGCAAATCTCATAACTATACTCCCTTAGTTAAAACCTTCAAAGGCTTCTTCTAATTGCTCACCCAGACCTACCTTTCTAACATCATCCTAGGTTAAACAGCTCATCAGGCTCAACTCAACTGGCATTTCATTTCCCACCATGCACCATGTTTTTTTGGGATTCAGAACCCTGCATAATTTATCCTGTCTGTGGGGACATCTTCTCCCTATGTGGCACCAATAACATTCACTGATTCGTATGGCCATAGTCTGAACATCAGCTTCCTCAGGTTGGCCTCCTGTTACACACTCCCAGAACATTCCTTATTTACTATCTCCCACTTTTTAAACATTCTTCCCATTTTCCAAAGGATAATGTCTGTATTATTCATAGCAACATCACTAGTACTCTATGTCTGGGTCATGTAAGTTCAATGAAGACCAGTTGCTAGAATACTCTTTAAATCTTCAAAAGGTTTAATCCTTATACATGTGTCATGAATAGAAGAGACTCTATTATACCATGTGAATTCTGAGCTAAGGAGAGCAGTCAAGTGTCATACACTGGGGGTTGGGAATGAGATGAGTTAAAAAGCAAGTGTTCAACATTAATCAATACAACTTACAAGACCAAGAGAGAAGAAAAATAACTTACCAAAACATTACAGTGTGATGGATCCGAAACGATAATTGTTAGTCTAGTTAAAATTTTAATTGGTTTTGATTTTCCCTATAATAAAGAAAGTACAAAATACAGATGACTGATTTTCCTCCTTACCAGTGGAAAGTATTCATTAAAAGGTACTAACAATAAGGAATAATGAAGATCAGTAGCCCTAACTCTCAAGGAATTTATAATCTATTTGTTTTATTTTGTTGTGCTTCACTGATATTGCTTTTGTTTTTTTTTTTAAAAACTGAAGATTGGTGGCAACCTTGTATTGAGCAGGTCTATTATAATACATCATTTTCCAATAGCATTTGCTCACTCATGTCTCTGAGTCACATTTTCGTTATTCTCCCAACATTTCACATTTTTTCAAGATTATCATATTTGTTATGGGGATCTGTGATTACTGATTTTGCCTAAGTCCTAATCACTAGACTGCCAGGGAATTCCCTGATCTCTGATGATACTATTGTAATTGTTTTCAGTGTCAAAAACCACACACATATAAGACATTGAACTTAATCAACTGTTGAAATAATAACAAAGGATTAAGAATATTACATAAACTTTTAGTTAATAAAGCAGTGGCAGGGTATGAGAGGACTCACTCCAATTTTGAAAGAAGATTTACTGTGGGTAAAATACTATCAAACAGCATTGCATACTACAGAGAAATTGTACTGAAAGGAAGCAAATTCATTGTTGTCTTTATTTTAAGAAATTATCACAGCCACCCCAGCCTTCAGCAACCACCACCCTTATCAGTCAGCAGCCTTCAGCATCAATGTAAGACCCTCCACTGGCAAAAAGATTATAACTTACTGAAGACTCAGATAATGGTGAGCATTTTTAAGCAGTAAAATATTTTAAAATTAAGATAAACATTGTGTTTTTTTATATATAATGCTGCTGCTGCGAAGTCGCTTCAGTCGTGTCCGACTCTGTATGATCCCAAAGACGGCAGCCCACCAGGCTCCCCTGTCCCTGGGATTCTCCAGGCAAGAATACTGGAGTGGGTTGCCATTTCCTTCTCCAAAGCATGAAAGTGAAGTTGCTCAGTCGTGTCCGACTCCCAACGACCCCATGGACTGCAGCCAACCAGGCTCCTCCATCCATGGGATTTTCCAGGCAAGAGTACTGGAGTGGGGTGCCATTGCCTTCTCCGAGACATAATGCTACTGCACACTTAATGAACAACGTAAGCATAAATTTAACATGAATCAGGAAACCAAAACATTCGTGTGACTTGCTTTAATGTGGTAGTCTGGAACCAGACCCACAGTATCCCTGAGGTATACCTGTATAGCTAGAGAAAAAGAGATGTACATAATGTTTCATGGAAACACTAAGTCTTCATGGAAAGGTAAGACTCATAGACAAAGGAAGGGGCAGTGCAGGTTAGAGAACCATATGTATGACTGGGAATGTCTGAACTGGATGAGTACGTATTACGTTTCTTAAACAAAGCACTTACCTGTACAATTGGCAAAGTTGTAAAGAGTTCAGAAACAGCTACTGGTTTTTCAATTTCCTATGACAAATAAAGAGTAATTTTTAAAAAAGCTAATTTCTAGCATGCAGAAACACTAAATAAGTTGTGTGTATGTGCATGTGTGTGTTTTCTAATGAAGAAAGTTGAAGTCGAGTAGGAGCTGAGAACATCAATGGAAAGGAAGGATGAACAAGTTTTTTAGAATGAAACAAATCTGTAAGGAACAGTTGTTGGCCTAAGGAGAGATACACATATTTACTAGTATGTTTGGATGGGAAATCAATCAGTAATGAGTCCATGACAGTAAAATAAAAAGGATTAATTATTGTGATTACAGTTTAAACAACAACAATGCACTTTTTAAAAAGTTACTTAACATCAAATCGACTTTAAGAATCTTTACATCATACCCCAGCACTTCACAAAAAAGTTATCATTTGCACAGGTATGTATCAGCTCAACTACTGACATATAAAATAATGCACAAAGAGTGCTCATCTGTAGCCTCCATATTACCAATACACACAAAATAATTATAACTGCTGCTTATTATTAATGTCAAAAATCCTATTTTACCTGTTTCTTTTCCTTAAATTCAACAACATGATTGATGGCAACCACTGAATAGCCCACTGAAAAGAAAAATTGAACATTCGTGTCAAATACAACGACTTCTTTTCCACAGGAGCTCATACCGATTCACGTCAAGACTACAAGGTAGAAGAATGGTCATGAGTATGGACTCTGGAGTCAGATCTGCCTGTTCTCAAACCTAAACATTACCACTTAAAAAGTTACTTAAGCTTAAGTTTCAGGTTCTTATCTGCCAAATGGTTATAATACCAGGATTCATCTCATACAACTCTCATGAGAATTAAATGAGATAACACAGACTGGATGTTTCACAACAGTGCCTGGCTCAGACACAGGGTTTTGTTTGACTTTGGTGATGTATTATCAGCATGATAACAAAGACCCTTATCTTTGCTGATCTCCTTTCAACCATCATTCTTTTTCTGTCCCTATGTTCATTTTCATCTCATCAAATTTATACTTTTTTCACTATCAACTTCATTCTTAATTGTTGTTGTTTTTCACTTTTTACCCTTTCTTCTTCTTCAGAGACCCTTTTGCTAAGGAGAAACAGGATGACCATTCATTCACACCAATGTCCACGTTCTCCTTTGAGCTACCCACCAAGAGACTGAGAACTCTCTGAAGCCAGGGCCTGGCTTTATCAGCCTCAACACAGCACTGCTCTGGGCACGTGGACTATCAAAAATATGTTTAAATCATGACTCCAATCTTTAGGCTATTTAAACACCAACGGTGACGACAGGATATTAATATTAAAAGATAACGCATAGTAAGGCCAAAATAGTGGTCTCCCCCTCATCAGTTTGTCCAAGGTCTTTTTCTTCCTCTCTCAAATATTTACTGAGCATCCATTACTTAACAGACCCTGAAGAAACCTCTTTTATTTTGAAACCCTTCTATCCCCAGTTAGCAGTTGTGATTCACTTCAATAATTAAGATGAGGTCTTACTTCTCATGGCTTTTGTTTCCACTGGATTCAAAGAGGAGTAGCATTCTAGCCATTCTGCTCTCCTCCCACCCTCCTAGTAAGTCCTCCGCCCCCACTTACTCTCCGTGTAAATAACATTCCAACACTCGGAATCACATGTCCCCCTCCCCATTCTCGGGGCCCCCACAGTACTCCCCATCTCTGCATCAGTTTCCCGCATTTGACAGTATCAGGACAATGTCAAGAGACGCAGGAAGGGGCGATATGTTTTCATCGGTGTAGGTGTACACTTGGGAGCCCTGTTTTCTGCTATCCATCAGCTGTGGGGCCCATGCAAATCCCCCACCATGTCAGGGCCTCAGTTTCCTCAATTCGAAAGACAGAAGGAGCTGGACTGGGTAACATCTCCCCAATGCTTTCGAGTTTTCCGCGCCTGGGGTCAAAGCAACACCGCAGGGGCATCAGTTTCCACGCCGGAGGCCCCAGGACACCGGAACTAGGCCCGCCGGGTCCTTCCAGAGCATGGCTCGACAGCCTAGGGACAGCGAGACAGCGCAGGCACGGCGGCCCGCGAAGCACGGGCTACTCACGGTGAGCAGCGTTCTCCACGAGCCCGCGCAGCGCTTTCAGGTCGGAACCCGCCCGTAGGTCCAAATCGGCAAACGCCGCCATGCTGAAGTCACGTGAGCGCCGGCGCCGGCGCAGTCTCTGGGCCCCGCCTCCTCGGGCATGCCGGGAATTGCAGTTCACCGGCTCGCTCAGCCCCGCCCTTTCGTGGTCTGCGGTTCTCAGGCTCCTTTCTCGCCCTCAAGTACCAGCAGAAGTTAGCATGTGATTTGCAGCCTTGCTTCAGTCCTTCTTCGTCTTGTTCCAAATGAAAATGTTTGGTTTCTCCTGGGGTGGGAGTGTCGGGGTTCACATCTCCCGCCCTTCATCCTTGGAAATAATGTAGAAAGTGATTCTTTTAAAACGGACATATACACCATTAATTGAGCGCCTACTTGAACCAAAAATCCTTTTGCCAAGGGCTGGAAATGCTTTAAAAGTAGTAGGGAACTTGTTCTTTTTTTCCCCGTTAAAGGCCATTCTGTTGTTTAAAATGGACTTAACGGGAAATGGGGAAACTGACCTAAAAGCGGATTGCCGGGGGAAAGGTCTTTTTCCTCTGCCTGAACTGGGGGTTCACAGCGCGCTACTTCCTTACACTCAACATCCTCAGCCACCAGATGGCAGGGTTCTCTCTAGGATGAGAGGTTAGCCCCATCACTGGTTTAGCCAAAAACTGGTTAGACAAGAGAGGGGTGTAATTGAAATAAGAAGAAGTGTACAATCAAATCCCACACAATTTATATTTCCACATTTTTGAACTTCGTGTAAGTGAACTCTTCTTAAATATTGATCAATGATCCGAGAACATAAAACTGTGAAACTATAGTTGACATCAGATGACCTCATGTGGTTTGATGGCATCACTGACTCCATGGGCATGAAATGGAGCAAACGCTGGAAGACACTGGAGTAGAGAGAAGCCTGGCATGCTGTAGTCCAAGGGGTCACAAAGAGTTGGACATGGCTTAACAACTCAATAACAACAGCGATAGTTAACAACAGTGCTTTTTCAAACGAGCTGTGATGAAGGGCCTGGTTACTCCGCCCACCCCCACCCAGTTGTTCTAGGACCCATTCCTGTTTCCTCCTGCGTGACCAATAGACAGATCTGGCCTCAAAAGTTTGATCTAACATCTGAACTGCTCTGTACTCGACTGAATAAGAAGAGTCCAAGGGACTTGGGTATCCAGATAAGGCCTAATGGGTGTGAAAATTTCTAAACAGTTCCAATTTCTGTGCTAACTTACCACAGAGAATACACAGACAATCTCTAGCCTGTAGGCCACATCTTGACTTGTATTCCTCTCTTGATTTTTTCCTTGGGCTCAGAAGGGAATTTCAAGAGGGATCTGCCCCATCTTATTGTTGTTCATTCGCTAAGTCATGTCTGATTCTTTGCTGCACCATGGACTGCAGCACACCAGGATCCCCTGTCCTTCACTGTCTCTTGAAAGTGAAAGTGTAAGTTGCTCAGTCCTGTCTGACTCTTTGAGACCCCATGGACTGTAGCCCACCAGGCTCCTCTGTCCATGGAATTCTCCAGGCAAGAATACTGGAGTGGGTTGCCATTTCCTTCTCCAGAGGATCTTCCCAATTCAAGGATGGAACCCAAGTCTCCTGCACTGCAGGCAGACTCAAATTTATGTCTGTTGAGTGACTGATGCTATTTAACCATCTCATCCTCTGCTGCCCTCTTCTCCTTTTGCCTTCAATCCTGTCCCTAGAATTGCATGTAGTAGCAAGCAATTCTCCTTTTGGCTAAGTTTAGTGAAGAACTTTTGCTTTCCCAACACTTGATATATCCTAAGAAAGAATAAAAATTTACTTCTGCAAAGAGAATGAAGTCATATAAAGCAAACCCTTTGCTTTTTTTTTCAGCAGAATATTTGGTGTTAATTTTACAGGATCTTCAGTTGTTACGGAAACTCAAGTCCCTGAGCCTGAACCGTGAGGCTAAACTATACCAAATGTTGGAGTTTAGAACAGAGAAGTGTTTATCAAGGGCCATCTGAGGAGATGGGTGGCTCATGCTTAAAAACCACCAGCAACCTAGAAATTTTCAGCAAAGCCCTTTTCTAGGAAAGATGAGGGAGGGGCGTAGTTAGCTGTTGCAAACTTCTTGGGGTCAGATCCTTTGTTCTTGAGGTCAGGTCATGGTGAGGTAATGATATTCCTGTAAACTTCCACAGAACGAATGTGATTCTCTGTCCTGACAAGAAAGGGCAAGGTCCCAACCCACAGCTTTCATGCTCTGAGGTTCAGGTTCTGGCTAAGAGGAAGTAGAGCTCAGCTGGAGGCTCCTTCAGAGCCAGTTCCCACACGCTGTCCAGCTGTCATCATTGAGGGAGCCCGGTGCCCAGGACCCACCTGACCCTCAGGCTTCTCAGGCCACCCAAACGGCAGAGGCCAGGTCCCCCAGCATCTTATGCAGACTGCTGCTATTAGGTCACAGAGCTGGGGGTGGGGGAGAGGTTCACCGCCACCTTAAGGCCTGGGTCTGGCCAGTGCGTGGCCTTGGAACAGGCTCTGGAGCCCTCCAGGACACTGCCCCCGGCTTGTTTCCTGGGCCCCTCCAGTTCACCGGGCCTCGCCTCGGGCCAGCAAGTGAGTTTGGGAGCCCTGGGGAAAAGGCTGTGATCCACTTCTCACCTTTCTCTCTGCTGACGGCCACCACGTGCCTGACTGGAGTTGGCTTAAGGGGCTCACTAACAGTCACTCTGACAGTTGCGTTGCTTGTGGGCGGGGCCCACTGCGGTGCTGACCAATGGCTGAGCAGGACCCCTAATGGTCCTGTTGGTAACCTTTCCCTGGTAACAGGGTAGGGGGTTAGTGGCGCACAGCAATGGCCGGGGTGCTAAGGGCTGCACTCAGTCATACTCTATCACACTATTGCGATGGAATGCAGCCGGGTGCAGCCCTTGGCACACCTCCATTGCTGTGTGGCATTATCCCTGTACCCTGTTACAAGGGAAAGGTTACCACAGGACCATCAGGGGGCCTGCTCAGCCATTGGTCAACACTGCAGTGGGCCCCTCCCACAAGCACCAACTCTCAAGGAGTGACCGTTAGTGGGCTCATTCAGCCAACTCCAGTCAGGCAGAGTAGTGGTTGTCAGGTGGAAAATCAGGTAAGAGATGGGATTCCTTGCCGTCTCCCCAGGCTCCTCCAGCTCACCTGGTCTCAGGTCAGTGGGTAAGCTGGGGAGCCCAGAGAACAGGTTGGGGGTTCTGTCCTGTAGGACTCCAGAACCCTTATCATGGCCACCCGCTGGCCTTGGCCCAGGCTGTGAGGCAGTAGTGAACTTCTCCCCCAAGCGCACCTCAGTGCCCTGATAGCAGTTACTGACCATCTGCCTGGATTGCAGTCTGTGCGATCTTCTCTTCCCTCCTGTTTAGGTGACCTGAGGAACCTGAGGGCCAGTTGGGTCCTGGGCATCTGGCTCCCTCAGCAGTGACAACTGGGCAGGGAGCTGGCTCTGAGGGAGCTGCCAGCTGAGCTCTATCTCCTCTTAGCCAGGACCTTGACCTCAGACGGAAAAAGTCGTGCCTTGAGACCTTGCCCTTTCTTGTCAGAACAGAGAATAACATTCCTTTGGTAGAGATTTACAGAAATAGCATTACCTGGCCATGACATGACCTCAGAAACAAAGGATTTGACCCAAGAAGTTTGCAATGACTAAATAAACCTCTCCTTCCCCTTTCCTAGAAAAGGGCTTTGCTGAAAGCTTTCAGGGAATTTGGGGTTTTTAAGGCTTGAGCTGCCCATCTGCTTGCATGGCCCTGTAATAAAATTTCTCTGTTCCAAACTATGACATTTTGGTATTGTTTGGCCTCACTGTTTGTCAGGCACATGAACTTGCATTTTGGTAATACTGTGACCACAAAATCTATATTGGTCAGAAATATGTCCAAAATGTGTGGTGAAGGAGAATAAGATGACTAATTATTTGATTAGACAACAGAGAGTTTAGACAACAGAGAGCTTCTCTCTTTGAAAGTCATGGTGCTGTTACTGTGAACTATACCCTTTAGAATTCGTTATTCATCTTCACTCTGGGCTTAGATAGCAAGAAAAGAAAAAGGGTGAGAAGGAAAATGAGCAGATGACGGTCATTGATCACTTTACTGAGGGCAAGCCTATTTGCTAAGTAATTACCTACATATCCTATTTAATTTTCAAAACAGCTATGAGTTAAGTCCTGCTTTTTAGTAACATCTACATTTTACATCTGAGTCATCTAAAACTTAGTTAATCATGTTAGACCTACATGTGGATCCAAGCATCTTTATCCTGGGCTTCGGTGTACTGTCTCCTGGGCAAAGCAAGCAGAGGGAGAGTTGGAGGATGGGAAGGGAAGGGGGAGAGAAGAAGAGGGAAAGGGAGAGTGGAGGGCTGGAGAGAGAGGAAAGAAGAAGTAGGGAGGGAGAGGGGAGGGGAGGAAGGAGGTGGAAGAGGAGGAGGAGGAATGGGAAGAAGGAAAAGAGAAGATGGCATTGGGAGGGGAGCAGAGAAGAGGGGTCAGAATTTGGCCTATGGGTGAGGTGGGTTGGTGTAGCTACAGCAAAAAGGATAGAAGACCTTGGAAACTTCTGACTGGAAAATAATAGTACTGTATAATTACGCTACATATTTCCTATCTACAGTCTTATTTAATCCTTGCAACCAGCCAATGAGATATTGTTATCCCTATTATATCAAGGAGTCCTGAACTCAAAAAGGATGACTCTTCAGTTATTTCCTCTTCCTTAGGCAGCTATGAAAGAGAGAATGGGCCTTAGCATCCAAAGCAACCTTCCAGCCCATCTGGGTCTCCCTGCAGACCTCCCTTTCTTGGGTTGGCCCCTCAATGTCAGTGCATGCTCTGTTGATCTTTGCCCTTGTGCTCTTCTCACTTGACTCACCCTTCCTGAGTGAGTTCAGAAACACTCCTCCCACCCCTCTGTCCTCTGTCAGCTTAAGGTTAAGTTTGGGCAAGGCAAGAAAGCAATACTATAACATGATTTGCACAGGTGTGTCCAGAGCATCTGGCAGAGTCTTCTCTTCCATACTGAGGGGGAGGTTTG